GTACCCTAACGATGAGTATAAGTGATTAAAGTGGGAGTTTTTTTGTTTCGTTGCCTGGAGTTCCCTCTGTGACCCGTCCCTTAGAGTGAGTGTGATGATAGAGACCTGACCTGGTGCTCTTTCTTCAGGTGACATAGTTCTTGAGGACTCCAGAGAGTACAACTTGCCAGGTGTGTGATTACAGAGTTTAAAGGTAAAAATCACTTTCCATAATGACTAATTTAGCCAGCATGGCTACTATGTATAAGCTAACTGCTTCATTGGATGCTCAACCTAAGAAAGTATACTCTATTCCAATGCTGGAGAAATATTTGGCTGTATAGGACACTTCCAATATGGTATTTGTATAAAGGAATTTTAAAGAGTAATTTTGCCTAAATGTGAGTACTATGGACTTAATTGTACCCTCTCTTGAAATAATAGGCTGAAGCTCTAATTCCACTGTGACTATATTTGGAGATAAGGCCTTTACAAAGTAAGGTTAAATGAAATCATAAGGATAGGGCCCTAATTTGAGAGGATGGTACCCTTATAAGAAGAGCAAGACAAAAAGATCTACCTTTCTCCCCGCCATATTAATACACCAAGAAAAGGTCATGAAAGGAGTTGGTAAAAAGGTGGCACTCTGCAAGCCAGAAAGAGAGCCCTTGCCAAAATCAAATCAGTTGGTACCATGATCTTGAACCTCCCAACCTCCAGAACTGTGAGAAATAAATGTGTACTATTTAAGCCACCCATTTCATGGTATTTTATTATGGCAAACTAAGGAGACTAGTACAGTGACTTTCTTCATTTATGCTGACTTCGCTATCCAGTCCTGAAGGGTCGGGGATTTAGCTCAGTGGTTCTGCCGCCTGCCTCGCTATCCAGTCCTGAAGTCAACTGTGGCCGAAGATGGGAGCCTTTTCCCAGTATGGGCATCTAGCTGTGTGCTACTGTAGAAGAACTGAACAAGGCAAACTTGAGGTGACTTAGGGAGGCAATTCTCCCCATCCCTCCTCAGCACATCTTCCCCATCCCTTGAAAAGGCTCTGTGTGGCTGACATCAATTGCATCCCCTTCCTCAGCAATATCCTATGTAGAAATTATGATCATCATTAAAATTAACCTTAAAACACTATGTCTTAGTTACTTTTCTCGTTGCTGAGACAAAATACCCAACATCCAAGATTAAAGGAGGAAAGGATTATTGTAACTCACAGTTTGTAGAAGTTTCACTCCATAGTTGGCTGGCTCCAAGGAGCCAAGGCAGAGCAGCATGGCAGAGGGCCATCACAGAGGAGAAACAGCTCTTGGCAGGCAGAAGGCAGCAAAGCAGCAAAGAAGCAGCAAGCAATAAGTGGCTACCCTCTTTCTGTCCCTTATATTCCATCCAGGGTGGCGTACCCTTAATCCTACCCAGAACTATGCCAAACCAATCAGTGGACTAATTTAGTAACCACACTCCCTTGATCCCAGCATCACACACTCCAGATCCAGCCACCTCTGAAAAGCACCTCCATGACCGCATGTGGCTTTGGGGGCACATCTAGACACAAGCCATAACACAGTATAACATCCCCAAAAGATCCCCATAGTATTTGGGGTCAGGCAGATGAGGATTCAAAACTCATGCAACTACTAAACCATGTGACCTAAATGATCTTTGTTGGTCTGTTTCCTCATCTGTAAAGTAGAAAAATAATGTGTAGTTCACAGTGTTGAAAATTCAATAAATGAATATATGCGTAATGTTTAGCAGATAACAGATGCCATAAGTGCATTATTTACAAGGTATTTTTTGAGCACTAGCTACTAAATAGTTCTGGGCTTCCTGAGAGTAAAGAAAACAGGTGTAAGAAGGGTAGGGTAGGGCATAGGAGGATAACAGGGGTGATATGTCACAATGGAACTCATTACTCTGTATAATTAATATGCATTAATAAGAAAGAAAGGTGGAAGACTGTTTCAAGTTAGCAGAACACCTAATAGAAATAGGAATTTTCATGTAAAAATTGTAATTTTGCTGAGCTGGGAGCTGCCATTCTCATCACCATGAACAGTGGAGATGGTGCCAGTAGGTTCTCCAGGCCTGTTTTCAGGGGCTCTTAATCTTATTTCTTTTGTGTGTCATGGACCCTTTTGTCAGACAGTGATATGTATGGACTATTTTTCAGAAGGAAGTTTTTAATCTTATAAAGTAAAATCTGTAACATTTCAAAGGAAACTAGATGAAAATACACTTAGCAAAATGTTTTGATAGTTACATATGTGCTAAATTATTAACACATCAAATAATAAGATCAAGTGGAAGGTCTGAGAACTACCATTATTTGGAAGAAGTGGTAGATATAAATGAAATGTTGATATGTACAGTAATTCTAGTGGGTTATTAAAATCTGCATTTTCATAGTCAGCAAAGTCAGATACTGCTAACACTGCTGGGGTCTGTTGATTACATTATAATTGAAGGAAATGACTGAATTTCAGTTAAAAGTTAGTGAAAATAAACATGTATTTTTTATTCATCCAAGTTCAAGGACTCCCTGCATTGTTGAGTTAAGAACTTCTGTTTTAGAAATACCAAACAAGGGGAGAGGAAATTCTGAGCCTTTTTATACTTTTCCTGGAACAGATATTTTGGGCTTACAATAAAATCTTGTTATAATTTCAGTACCTCATGAAATACTATTATAATTTCTTTTTCACTTTATTTGGAACAAAGGGAGCAAGTTTTCCTCCTAATCTCTTTGTGTAGACTTACATTTCATGATGGACGCAAAGTTTCCCCAGGGAGAAGATTTGCATAAGATACTTATTTCTCCCAGTGATGTAAATCCCGTACCATTTCGAGAAAAGTTTTTGCTTGCAGAAATGTTTGTATCTGTCTTTGAGAAGGAAAATTTGTTATATAAAGAAGCTAGACAGTGTGGGGCCAAAGTTGAAAGATTCATTTAGGTACGAGGTGAGAGTTGCCTTAATGGAAAGAGATCAGGCACCTTCAGCTCAAGTGTTTCCACATGGTCTCAGATACAGATTTAACCCTTAAAGAGTTCTGGAAAGAACATTACAATATCCTTTCCTGTGTGGAATTAATTGAGAAATCCTGGGCCGGTGTCTCTCTAAAGACACTGAGATCTGCCTGTATACAGGAGAGAGACTGAAGGCTGTGCAGAGGAGCCTGAGCCTTCAATTGACCAACTTGAGTTACGACCAGCCCTTGCGAATGAATTAAGTTCATAATTGTCTAAAGCTCCATAGTTTTATATTCATACAAGTTGAAAAACACTCCTTAGGAACATTTGTTTGACCCCATCTGAACTAACATGAAAGTGTTGATGTAAAAATTGTTCTGGACAAGGTCCAATTTTTAAAGAAACATGGAAGACTATTCAGAGCTATTCCCATAAATAACAGACCACAACTTAGCCTGAACTTAACTCCACTGAAACAAAGGCTGAGCAAGCTCTTAAGGGATGGGATAAATTACTGGAAAAATGTGAGGCAAATGTGATAACCACTACACTACAGAAACTGGCTGGTAAACTACTAGAAGAGTACTGGAGGACATGAGGGGGAGACTGGTCAATGGATGCATCAAGCACATTGATTTACTTTTGCAAATATCTTTCTCTGTGATAAGGTCACCTGTGTTTGCTAATTGGGACTTAATGAAAATTAACCTCCTATCCTCATATGGGGTGCTGTTTCCCTTGATTACATTTCAAACAGTTGGCACCAGGTCCTTAAGAAGAATAGCTCTGGATTTCAAAATGACAGGAGTATGGGAGAGGATTTACATATAAAAGGGGCAAAAACAAGATTATAATTGCAAGTTTTCTACAGCAAATGCTCTAAGGAAAAAATGTCAAGGTCTTATTGTCAGGAAGAAGTTTGCCTGAAGTTTAGTCAAGCTAAGATAGTGTATTACCACTATTACCAGTGCTACTACTATGACTACAACTACTTTTATTATTATGGTAGACTACTCAGTAGACAATAGAAAAAATACATGTTACAACTATGAGAAAATAAAAATGAATATGATTTTCTAATATGAGATTGGGGATTGAAAAGTAGGGTGCAAAAGTAGGAACAAAGATGGTGAACCTAGATGCTGGGAGAATGAAGATCCACCGATAGAAATGGAATTTCCGTGTGGCTGGTTGGAAGCTGATGCCAAATAACCTAAGTCAACTTGAGTCTAACTCTTGGTTCCTTTTGGAGAAACAGTACCTGATAGGCTGCATTGGTGGTTGATGAGAGTTAGGGATGACAGCAGCACTTGTGGACTCTTCTGTAGTGTTACAGAAGCACTGCATACCAGCTCTGCATTGCCCACTTACGATCAGCAACTGTGGACTTCAGCTCAATCACACATATGCACACACACCAAGTACCCCTATGTACACTGAAGTACATTGAAGTTAAGTTATAGGCATTTTAGCAACTCAGTGTTATGGGAAACCGCTATCTTTCTTTTAGCCCAAGTTGTATTAGAAATTTGCCAGAAAACTTGAGTAGGAGGTGGGGGACAAGGCTTTTAGAGGTAGCTGGGGAATGATAATTGAGAAGGTAGCAGCTGGAGCCCTGGGAGTAGATGAGATTTTTCACTAAGTTCCTGGGGGTGTATGACATAAACATATCTTACCTTTTTTTTCCTCAAGAGAGTAAGTGTAAAAGGAGATGAAAAGGGGAAGGAGAAATATAAAAATTCACAGTCTTATTAAGCGAGAGAGAATGGTTCCAATGTTGCCTATTCCAGAGAGGTCTATGGTGCTAGGAATCATAAGAGGTACAATTAATTTGCTCATGGAGCACTTGCTAGGGAAAAAGCCAGTAAGAGTTCTGTGGAGTCACATGCAGTAAGAGTGAGTGGGAATAAAGGAGCGGGGAGTGCAGATGACTCTTTCAGGAAGCCTGGGCTTAAAAGAAATTGAAGGGAGAGCAGAAAAGGAGTATAAATAAGGTTACTAGAGATGTGTGATATTAATGTGTTTTCTTTCCCATTACTTTTATAGTGATCAAAAATGAGTGAACAGGCAGATAAAAACAATTCCATTCAAGAGGGACACACAGATCAAAGTTCTTCAGAGAAAAGCTGTCAAATTGGACAGAAGCAACTGGTAAGGCATATGAATTTTATGACTCCATAGTATTCGCTGAGTTCCCAGCTTGGGGACCTCTGAGATGCTCATGGATTTGGTGAAAGGGCAGGCTCAGTCAGGACTCCACAGGAAGGATCTTTGCTCTCAGGCTGAGTTCATTTTGAGACAGTGTAAAATGAATAAAATTATTTGTCTCTCACTGATAAAACATTTTGTTTATTTCACAGCAACAAATAGAGCGGCAGCTAAAATGCCTGGCATTTCAAAACCCTGGACCACAGGTAGCAGACTTTAATCCTGAAACAAGACAACAGAAAAAGAAAGCACGGATGTCAAAAATGAATGAATATTTTTCTGTAAAGTACAAGTAAGGACGTGACTTAATATATTTGATTTGTGGGTTTAAAAATGCACAATTCCCCCTGATAAAGCAAAATAATTGCCTCTTGTATGATTTAAAAATATCTTTCCTAAATTTACAGCAGCACCTCTTAATACTGCAAGTTAACAGCTTCCAGAAATAAACTAAGAACTGGGGGAATAGCTCAATGATAAAGCACTTGGCTAGCAGGAGGGAGGGAGGCCCAGAGTTCCATCCTTAGCATTCCAAAAAAAAAAAAGCTAAATTAAGCAACCTATAAAGAAAATGTCAGTAAATACAACCACAATAATGATAAAACATGCTTATTAGAAGGTATTTTTAAAACAATGAAAGAGATTATAAAGTGGAGAAATCATAACATAAGAAATCAGTATCCAAAATTTGTGAAGAATCTTACAAGTAAATAAGATAAACACAACTCATGAATGAAGAAAATAATAAGAATTTTATAGAAAAAAAGATAATAAACATTCAAAATATCGAACCTCCTTAGTATATTATGAAGAAGTGCCACACATCTCAGAGGTATTAAAGTTGATGAAGCTAGGGGACATGCATTGATTATAAAATGGTACCAATCACTGTGTAAGAACAGCTTGGTATCTCCTATGTGCCCTATGACCTTACATCTTCACTCCTTGGTATATACTGGAAAAAGGTTTATATACAACTAAGGGAGACACATTCAATAAGTTTCATAATAGCACTGTAATAGCAAAGAAAACAAAGTGCTAATAATCCAGATAATCAATAATGGAAAAAATAACTTGAGGAATATACAGAGAATGGAATACACATAGAAGTGAACATTTTTAAATGCAACTGAACATACTAACATGGAAGAATCTCAAAAATTACAGAAGAAAAACTACAATATCCTTAGGGAGACACACATATATGACATAACTGAAAATAAAACAAGGGTGTGATTTTAATAATATCCAGCTAAAGTTCCTTTTGGAGTGTGGGAGATGATGTAATGAGTGGGGAAAGGAGAGGACTTCAAAGGTATAATACTTCTGTAAGTGTGCAGTATGTAGATTTTATGCAGAATTTCATGAAAATAGCATCCTATAGGAAGGAAACCATGCAACCTGTGTCTGGATGTCTGAGTTGATGCAGGGGGATGACTGGGCTAAGGAAAAGGTGGGAAGGACAGAATCTGGCCTGTGCTCTCAACTTTTCTCAGGAACACTCATGCCCATCATTCTTATAATTAAATTTGAATATTTTCCACTGGATTTCCTGAGGGGCTCGAGAAAGATCTAGTCTTCAGAGGAAGCAGTTTAAGTGTAAACCTTCATAGAAGGCATTTCTGCTGAAGTATGATAATCAGGTGGCAAGTATATGTAATGTACGTCTTGCCTTTCCTTGCTTTGTTAGAAACTGCATTACTTAACTGTACAGGAAAAAAGGAGGTGTTACGCCTGCTGGGGACAAGGGTACAGAGGGTATACAATTTGACCACACCAGTGATGGGCTAGTCTTTTGGACTTGAACTGGTAATAATGGTACAAGCTATACATAGATGTTTTTGTTATCTAAATCTTTCAAGCATCTCAGATTTGAAAGATATTTCAAAATATTCTTGGTTTGGGGAGTGTGGTGAAATGCTTATAAAAGTCTCTTCCTTTTGGACATGTTTTTGAGCCTAACAGAGCAAGTGGGGAAGCCCCAGCACAGTCTAGACTCTGGGGCTTTCCTCTGGCACAAAGAAAGCATCTTGCCTTCACTGAGAACTTATGATACAAGGTCCAACTATTTTTGTAACTGTGTAGACAACAGAATCAGAAGAGAACAGAGGAATTGGCACCTGTAGACTGTTAGCAAAAGGGTAGGGTTTTTGTTGTTGTTGTCTTTAAATGGTTATGGTATAGTAACTGATCGTCCTCACCTTGAATCATTAAAAAATGTAGCTGCGTTCAGTATAGTTCTTTAAGGGAAAAAAGAAAGGTCATATTTTAAAGAAATATTTGGAGCCTTTCTAGGAGGAATCTTTAGTCACCCATTCCTCACAATTTTCTTAGTTGCATTGTTATACTGTCTAGCAATGCTAGAAAACTGGAATTATTCTCCATGACAAGCCTGGCTACACCAGAAACAGTTTGATTACATAAGGACTGAATTTTCCATGACATCACTGCCATACATTATTTTGGATAGTTTCTGGGTAATCTCCAGGGTGCTGTTCTCTCAAAGCAAAAGAGCATGTGTATGAAGTTGCCGCACAGTAATTTATTCTCAGTGTTGAAGCCCACTGTACTATCATATTAATGTCCTTCTTACTTCTGCAGAGTTATGAAGAAGTATGACAAAAGTGGCAGGCTGATTTGCAATGATGTTGATCTGTGTGACTGTCTAGAGAAGAACTGCCTGGGCTGCTTCTACCCCTGCCCCAAGTGCAACTCCAACAAGTGTGGGCCCGAGTGCCGCTGCAGCCGCAGATGGGTTTATGATGCCATTGTTGCCGAATCTGGAGACATCATCAGCTCACTGCCATTTAACATTCCTGACTAAAACCTGCCGTGTGTAAATTGATTTGTTTCTTCTTTCTATATATGTAAGATAACCATTTTCCTTTGGGAAAATTTCAGGGTTGGAACAAAATATTGGAAAAACCTACTTAAAACTCATGTTCTTTTAAACTACAGAATGATGCAGAATTGGCAGTAATTCTATAAACGTCTGTATCTTCTCAAATTCCTTAATTGAGACTAAAGGATGTGAAAGTGGATGGGTCAACTTCTCTCCTCAGCCCACCATCTCCACTCTGCTGTCACATTAAAAATCTCTCCCTCTTGTCTGGTGTCTGAGAATAAATAGTTTTAAGATTTTCAGAACTCTGTAGCTGAGAGCTTTTCTTACATAGAACATAGAACCATAAATGTATGATACCTAGTTATCCTTAGAATATTATATATTTCTAGTCCCAAGTCAGAACTGACATTTGAATTAAAAGTAATCCTTGTGCCTTGGCACTGTATAAACTTAGCCTCATTTTTATTGTGTTTCAATAATGTTACAATAAAATTTGTTAATATTTTCATCATTAAACATTTGTATTTTTCTTATAAAATTGAGATGATATTCTAAAAGCCATTGGTTTACATTTTTAATTCCGGGGTCAGTATTTCAGACTATTAGTTCAAAAGGAAAAACTTCAATTTACAAAAATGGTTTATTTTCAGGTATATTGATAAGCAGTTGAAACCTGATATAGTTTTTTCAGTTCTGATACATTGTAGGAAGTATAAAGAAAGTTGAATTCAGCCTTCTTCAGATTTTTTTTTTTATGACAATCTTTAAGTCAGAGATTTTTATAGTTGAACATGCATCAGAATCACCTGGAAGACTTGGTAATTCACAGTTTCTGTTTTACTAGATTTGGGACAAGGCTCAAGAATTGGCATTTTTAACAAGTTCCTAGGCATTGTTGATATTGGCTTGGGGACCACACTTTGAGAACTACTTCCCTAAGTTATACTATATACATAATATAAGGAAATACTTGAATAAAGTAATTCAATAAATTTTCAAAGTAAACAAGAGGATTTGTTCTTTAAAAAAAATTTGAAATGCTATAGTTTTCTGGGTTTATTGTTCCAACATAAAAACACTTGTTTCTACACAAGGTACATGGGCCAGGGAAGGCATCTGACAATTATTACTTCTGGACTTGTTATTACTTGACAGTATTTATAAAGATGAAAATAACAAAATTCCTGAAAAATAATGCTGCGAGCATAAAACTCCTATCCATGTAGCAAGAGAGCTTAGATTTCTTTGTGACTTATTCCACAGGATTTAGTGTATTTTCTAGATTCAACTCACTTTTACCCAGCTTCGATTGCGAACCTGTGTGCTCAGTGCTCCATTTTATTAGCTTTAACCATCCCTACCCTGTGAGGACGATGAGACCTTACTCACAGCACAGCCTTTGCACTGCTAACTTAGCAGGAGTGTTCAGCTCTTAGACCAGGAAAAGCAGAGGCTCTTTCTGTTGTTATTTTATTTTGAGAATAGTCATTGTTTTGTGAATGGCTTGTTTTTTAAACTTATTTACTTTGAAATTGTATAGTTTTAAAGCCAAAGGGAAGCTTCCAGTTAATCTATCCATTTAGTCAACACCTGCTAACCTGATGCTGCTCTTTGCCCAGTAGCAGGCTTGGTGGAGGGAAGAGGGCAGTGAGCGAAATCCACCTGGTTCCCATCTGCAGGGGTTTGTGGACTAAAACCAAATTATTTTTATTTTTATTGCTTTGATTTTTTAAAATTAAATTTTATTTTATTGGTACATCTTAGGTATACGATATAATGACATTCATAATTGGAAATTTGCACCTTTACATAATCTTTTTTGGTTCTTATTTTTCCCCCTTCCTCTGCCCTTCCTTCAACCCCTCCATCCCTCCCTATTTACAAAGACTTTGTTTCCATTTTTTCATTTTCTCATATTAATTCCATTCCCTTCTTTCCATTCCCCTACCCCTCCCACTTCCCCTTCCCCTTTACCCCTTTTCTTCCTATTTCACATTATCTATTACAAGTTTTAGTTCTTATTTACATTCAGTTTCTCACACTAGAGAAACTATTCGGTACTTACACATGTGTGTCCTGTTTATTTCACTTAAGAGTATCGTCTCAATGTGCATCCATTTAGCTATAAAAATCTCTAATTTTTCATTTGTTATGGCTGAGTAGTACTCCATTTTATTTTAAAAAACCACATTTTCTTTATCCAGTCTCCAGTTGAGGGACATTTGGGCTGCTTCCAAGTTTTGGCTATTACAAATTGTGCTGCTATGAATATGGGTACACATATATCACTGTGGTATCATTCTTTTAATTCTTTGGGGAAGATACCCAAGAGCGGAATAGCTAGGTCAAATGGGACTTCCAGTCCTAGTTCTTTGAGGTGTCACCATACTGGTTTCCACAGTAGTTACACCAGTCTACACTCCTTCCAAGAGTGGAGCAGGGTTCCTCTTTCCCCACAGCCCCACCAGCATTTGTTATTGGTTGAATTCATGAGAGCAGCCATTCTTTCTGGGGAGAGGTGGAATCTCAGCATTGTTTTCATTTGCATCTCTCGAATGACCAGTGATACTGAATATTTTTTAATATGTTTATTTGCTATTTCTAATTCTTTGTCTGAGAAATGTCTGTTCATTTCAGGTGCCCTTTTGTGGATTGGGTCTTTAAATTTGGGAGGTCTGATTTTTTTAAGTTCTTTATAGATTCGAGATAGTAGACCTTTGTCTGAGGAA